AAAATAAAATAAAAAAACACACATCATTGTAAAACCAATACATTCATCGCTCCGCTCAGAATCTAAAATTATAAAATATTTCGAATGATCGATACGTCAAATAATACAAATAGTTAATGAATGTAGCTGGTACCAAATCTTTTAAATGAACCATTAACATAATGTTGTTTCAAATCTTGATATCTTAACTATTGAATCATCAATCTCCCGCTAGTAGAATTCTCAAATATGAATAGGCTATAGAGTACTGAGCATGACTAAATAGATCTATTTAGTCATTGTACTGAGTACCTATTGAGTTTGTAGGGTAAGTGGAGTTATAGTGATCCACGTTTTCGCGTAGGTACATACGGTATATAATATGAAAACAATGGTTTCAATAAAAATATTTTTATATAAAATTTACCTTTTGATTTGTAATTAAATATTTTTGTGTTGACACCCGGCACACCACGTACCTCTATTTACGTAAGGGTGCTGAATTTTTATTAGCCCCGCGTGCGTCAAATTTCTGAAATATAGCACTGGGTAAACAGCGAATGATAATTTTATCACATTTAGCATAGACAATAATATAAAATAGTTATAAAGTTTAAATAAAAATTAAATAATTACATTTTAAAAAAAAAATTAGAAATAGAGTTGAATTTTTAAAGATTTATTTATATTTTAGGAAACAATTGAATAATATTTTTATTTTTTATTTTTTGGCGGGGGGGCTATTACAAATTGCGCTTATGCCCCCCCCCCACCAATGGGCGCCCATGTCTACCTATCTATTTTTTAATGGTTTTATTTGGAAATTTTTACATAAAATGCCTATTTCTAGCCCCTTAATAACTATTTTATTCCTGTAACGTATTTTTCCCATGTTATATTTTCCTATGAGAAACTTTCCTGTATAATATTTTCCTGTGTAATAATTTCCTGGGTCTTAAATTCTTTGTTATTATTTTTCCGAAATATTAATTCCCTGTTAAATATTATTCTTGGGTAATATTTTCCCATTAAATATATTCCTAAGTATAACATTCCTGTATAATACTTTCCTGGATAATGTTTTCCTAATTTTATTTTTCCTGTGTTAAACTTTCCCGATAGCACTTTGTCTGTGTAATATTTTCCTAATTTTTTTTTTCCTATGATATACTTTCCCGACTACACTATTCCAATTTAATATTTTCTCCAACAATGCTTTCCTGTGATAAAAATATTCCTAGTAAATATTTTCCTGAATATTATTCTTCCTCAGCAATAATTTCCCGTGTTGTGTGCGCCCCCGTAGTGAATTTGAATCACGGTGATCTCCCCTAAGGTATTTTTAATTTGTCTAAATATATGCTAAAATCCTAATAATAATAATCCTGTAAAATGTTGGGGCAGACTTAATACATTTTTTTTATAGGTATACTGCAGAATAATAGGTAATAACGAAATTATCCATACCCAATATTCTATAATCTGTACTGAAGTACACACTTAGAAATATTGGAGTTATTTTAATAATTGACTCGATGTTAAGGGGTAAAATGTTAAATTACTAATGTTTAGTACTTATTTTAACACCACTGAATGTGTTTTCAACCAAAAGATGTTCAACATATTTTGTTGGAGTTAAAGTGACAATACAAAATTATAATTTAAATGCCACTTTAACACAAACACAAAATTAAATTAAGTTTAAATAAATAAATATGACATCAATGTATTTTGATTTTAACATTAATACGTGTTATTTTCACAATTGTATAGTAAAGTTATTTTAAACCACTGTTTAGTAATAAAAGATAACTTTACATTGGGGTCAAATTGACAAATCGAGTGTTATTTTAACACCGTAATATTTTAATATTGTCGATAAAATGGGTAATCCCAATATTTTGTTATTTTCGTTAATTTATGTAATGTGGCGAACGATTGTCGCCTGTCGATTGTGCGGGAGACGGGAGTTAGCATTATCTGGCCAGTCTGCAGTCATTGTGTGTATTCACTTTTTCCGTTTACGTGTGACTGTGTGAGAATATTTTTTTGTTCTACCTACCTATATAGTGATTAGTGACTACTACCTAAACGAAGTTTGAACTTTTGAATTGTTTGAAAATCGCCTACAATGAATCAGTATCAGGTATGTATAAGTTAATTATATAATTTATTTAATGATTTCATGCATATTAGTTTATTACATACCTAATCATAATGTGATGATAATTATAAATTATAATAAATTATAATACATGCTATTTCACGTAAACATAATATGTTATACCCTATTGGTACTACCTATTGGTTATTATTTACATATTAATCTAATTTTAATACACCAGATACCTACAGCTTCAAATTACTTGTGTTTATATTTGAAATTTTAGGTAATACCTATCTGTATGTAATCTAAAAAAAAATATTCAATTTGTTTACTGTCTTTAAATTATGCCTTTTACATTAAGTATAAATCATTAAACAAAAATGCAACTAAGATAATGTACCGAACCTAATTCTTATTGTTTTTATTGCTATGCCAGTTTCCATATTATCCGATAGGATCTGAAGCTTCAGAATTCCAAAATTTAGAGCAGTTAGATAATTCGTTGTTACAAACTCAAACTAACGTTTTTCAAGAATTTTTTAAGGAATCACAAGAGACTCTTACAAGAGATAAATCTGTATGTAGAACAGATGATGTTCATACAAAGTTTGGATCTTATAGGCCAATGGCATGGACAACAGAAGTATAATTATAGTTATGAACTGTTATTTTATAAACTTTAAAATATCTATATATTTCTTAATTTTCATTAGACTCTATTACAACTTTTGCATACAACAAATGATGGGAGGTACATATTTGCAGATTATAAAAAGAATAATGGTTTTTTGTCTGATGATTCACAAAATTTACTTACAAAACTTTTAATCAACCATCTATTACAAGATCAGAGCAGGTATGAGTATGTCCAACCTAAGTTAAAAAACTAATATTAAAACATAATTAATGTATAGAGAATTGTTATTTTTATTACAAATTTCACTAGGTAATTAAAAACTCTGTTAATTATAAATACATAACTATTGGACATTGGTATACCTACTTAATGTTAGTAATTTTGAATTTTTTCCAGAGGCACTGACTTTTACTTTAGAAAAATAGCTGAGCTGATAGTTGAAATTTTTCCCAAAGAACAAATAGTATGGAATTAATAATGTTTATCAATACTGTAAATTATAATATTAAATTAACCTAAATTTCTAGAGTGTATATTTTATACCAGCAAAATCAGAGGGATGCCAGCAAACTCATGCAAAGGGTAAACTCATCGAACGCTGGAAAAATGTTGCTCGTAGGTTAAGAGCAGTCGGAGCTATCACATTAGAAAGGCATACTAAAAACCAGGCAAATGTAGTATTAGCTCCTGACACTGAACATCCTGTGTTTTCTGGTAAATTGAATTAATTTTAAATTTATATTTAATGCCCAAACCAATGTTTTAATAGTTCTTAATATTAGTAAAAAATAAAAAATGCTTAGGTACAATTTTTTCCTGTTTTTTTTTTATAACTTGTTATTGATTATTATTGTTGTTTTTATTTATTATTATAGATGAGGTACTAGATGCTAAACAGTGGTTAAAAACTGATGGGCTGGCCGGTGATTTAAACCTAATCAAAGAAAAATGGTTAATAACATATGATTTGAGGAAAAAAGAAGTGTTTCAACCATTTTTCAATCCTGGCCAATCTTACAAGGTCCTAAAGGATATGAACTAGTACGTTTATATTTAACTTTTATGTTATTTAAATTATAAAATTGACTATTTTTATAGATTCTTGAAGATTTTAAAACAGCATTTCCACATACAAGTGATGTATTGTATAAAGAGTGGAATGACTTTCTTAATGCATGGGAAATATTGTCTGCTCGAATAGTTGATATACGTAGAAGTTCTGTTAAGGATAAATTTGGCAAAACTTTACTGGCTAAATTAGATGTGTCTTACCAAAAAAAAGGTTATTTTTATTTCTTTTTAGCTATGCTCAATATTTTAAATACCTTCCATAACATGTAATTAACAAATCATAATTTTTTTTAGATTTAAGAACTTCGTACATACTGAAAATACTGTTAATTCCATACCTTATACCAACTAAAACACAGATCAAAATTTCCAACTCCACCGGTCAATCTAAATACTGGAAGCCCTCTTTGTTAGAATCGGTATCAGCCTTTGCTACTCATGTAACAGTAAGTTAAAAAAAAAAAACAATACTGAAATTTCACATAACACAAATTAAAATTTAACATTACACAAGATTTATAATCATAACAATTTTCAAATAATGTTTTTAACTGTAAATATTATAAATAAAAGTGTTTTTTTCCTAAGTGTAATTTAATTAACGGTAAGTAACAAATAATATATTATTCTGTTTTTTCTAGAATAATATTGAATTTAAAGAAAACCTAATAAAAAGACAGGATAGATACGCAACATATGGCCTTTCTATACAACCATTTATCACATTTGTTGGTGTGGATACTGATTCTATTGACTCATGCTATGTGCGAGTAAACCAAAAGTATTGGCGTTTTGAGTGTCCCTTAAAGGCACTGGAGGTATGTTTTAAGTCGTATTTTGTTTTTCACTGTACATATCCAAAGGAGTGTTATGACTCTTGGTTGATCATACAACATAATTTATTTAAATTAAATACTGAATATCTTCTTCTATAATAACTACATTAAGTGCAAAGCTTCAATCATTTGAGTAATTTTTGTATACATAATTTTTATTTTTATTATTTCTTTATTTTTTAATATTAAAATATATTAAGGTTTAAGATGTACATTTGTTGTATATGTTCTTCATTATTTTCTTCTGTCAATCAACTAATGTTGCATTTAAAAATTTATCACCATCTGGGAGCTCAGTCTATATATAAGTGTAAACAGCAAGAATGTAATAGGGACTTCCAAGGTTCAGAACATTTTAGGCAACATTTAAATAGAGTCCATTCTAATATAATACCTGAATTCGCAATTAATGAATTGGCATTTGATTCACCTATATATGTTTCTGATGAAGTTGTCCCTATATCAGAAGAAATTCTGAATTTAAATGAAATTAATAATAGTAATTTTGATAATGCTGAAATAGGTGACAGTAGTAGGCCTTTTGAAGAAATTGTAAGAGATTATGCATTACAATTTATAACAAAATTGCTTACTAAACCTAACGTAACTGAATCATTAATGCAAGAAATAGTTGTTGGTGCCACCGAATTGTTTTCGTCTGGTATTTTATCTATTTTAAAAGCTGAAGTAATACCACATTTATACAAATGTGATAATCATCAATTAGATAAAATTAAAAAAATGTTTAATGTATTAGAAAATCCATTTTCTAAATTAAATACTGAGTATCAACGTTTACAATTTTTAGAAACAAATCATTTATTTTTTAAGCCAAAAAAAGTAGTTATAGGTTTTGTTGGTGAGAAAAAAGTAATTTCTGGAATTGAACGACAGGTTATGGTTCAGACCCAAGCACATTTGTTTTGTATGAAAGAAAATCTTAAACAATTTTTTGAATTGCCTGGTGTATTTGATGCTGCTTATCAATTTACTCTTTCATCTTCAAATAATTCAAATTTAACATCATTTTTAAATGGCAGTACATGGAAAAATATAAAAAAAAATTTTCAAGATAAGATTGTTTTCCCTATTTTTATCTACTATGATGATGCTGAAATGGGTAATCCTTTAGGGTCCCATTCCGGTATTCATAAAATGGGATGTATTTATTATACTGTGCCTGCACTTCCACCTGAATACTTATCATCTTTAGAAAATATTTTCCCAGCATTTATCTTTCATTCTTCCGATAGAGGAGTGAACAAATTTGATAATACGAAAATGTTTTCTTCTCTTATAAGGGATCTTATTGATTTACAAGAAAATGGTATATCAATAGTTGTTAATTCTACAAATATAACAATTTATTTTGCTCTTGGTCAAATTTTGGGGGATAACTTAGGTCTTAATTCAATGTTAGGATTTGTAGAAAGTTTTTCTGCTAATTATTATTGCCGTTTATGCCGGTCACATAAAAAAAAACTTCAACATATGCTAACAGAGTCAAAAGAATCAATTAGAGATATAGATAATTATAATTTGGATATTCTTAAAGCCAATGTTTCAGAAACTGGTATAGTTGAGAACTCTGTGTTTAATTCCATTCCAAACTATCATGTAACAGTCAATAGTGTATGTGACTTTATGCATGATGTTTCAGAAGGTGTAGCAAGATATGATATGGCCACTATTATTAGTTATTTAATAAACAATAAATATTTTTCACTTGAAGATCTAAACCTTCGGGTAATATCATTTGAATATGGTGTAATTGACCAAAAAAATTCTCCACCTCCTATTAGTCTCAATCATTTAAAAAATGGTTCTATAATTATGTCAGCATCTGAAATGTTGTGTTTTGTTAGGTGTTTTGGGCTCATTGTAGGAGAACTGGTTCCATTAAAAACTGAAATTTGGAAGTTATATATACACCTTCGAAAAATTATTGATCTATGTTGTGCTAGAGTACTTCAGCCAGAATGTGCACATCTACTAGATGCTTTAGTTTCAGAACATAACAAATTATATTTACATTTTTCTAACAGTTCATTAAAACCCAAATTTCATATCCTTACACATTATGGTCGTCTCCTTCTTAAAAATGGCCCAATTTCTTTAACATCTTCTTTAAGATTTGAATCAAAACATAAGGTTTTAAAAGCATATGCAAATGCCATACCAAATCGTATAAATCTTGGCCACACTTTATCACATAAACTTCAGATACAAATGGCTCATCGATTTTTAACTAAAAAAGGATTAGAACCAGACTTAAAACTTGGATCATATTTAAAAATTAGTAGTGTAGTAGAATTAAATTTTATATTACCTTCAGATTTAAGTCTAAAGACTTTTTCAGCATCATGGATAAAATTTAAAGGTGTTACTTATAAACCGGGTATGCTGGTGATAGTAGAAATCAATTTAAATGGATGTATATTTGGTCAAATAATTAATATTTTTATTAATGGTTCTACTGTCCCATATTTAGTGTGTGAACTTTTTTTTACTATTGGATTTGATGATCATTTTCATGCTTATGAACTAAAAAAATATGATGAGACTGAAACAAATCTTATTGGGTATTATATAAATGATTTGCCTGAATCATCACCTACTGTTATTAGAGTTCTTGGTGATGGTAAATTGTATGCAACATTACGATATGCACTATAGTTTGTATTTTATTATAAATTAGGTGTCTATATAAGTTATAAATACTTGTACAATTAATTATATACACAATTAAGGTACCTATTATTATTATATTACCTATATTTGTAGTACAAGTATGTACCGATATTGTTAAAATCATTAAATGTTTTTTTTTTTTTTTTTTACCATTGAAAATGTATGTTGTGTTGTATATTTTATTTCAATAAAAATATTATATTTACAAGAAAACCAAATATTTTTATTTTTTAATTTGCCTTATTACATTTGTTGAAAATTGTATAATATGTTAACATAAACGAAGAGGTACCATCTGACCAATATAATAAATAATAAAACTTCACATTAATTAATTTATACTAAAGGTTACAGGTTTCAATTTTGACAATACAAGTTCTATGTACACTGACATATACCTAATATTTTAATCTATATAACCAAAATATTTATTTATTTTTAATTACAACGCCACTATCCTGAATAAAGTTCAGCATTACATAACCATAATTGTATAATATACAATATAAATACTAATATATTGGGTAACAGTACTTCATATTTTGATTCATCGACAACATTATTAAAATACAATATTTAAAAAAATATGTAAAGAATTAACACCACTACATCCAACAAGATTTATTTGGTGGGTGAGTCAAACTATTTATTAGGCACCCTAAAAATACTATACACATTTATCTACCTGCTTTATTATACAAATATTAAATTTAAATAAGAATTAAACTAATTTATTGTAAGTATATACAAGAATTATTTGAGGTTAAATGTACAACCTATATGTAAGTTAATATAACATTTCTTGGTGTAAAACACACACCCTATTCATAAGTTATTATAACATTTCTTGGTGTAAAACACACAACTTATTCATAAGTTAATATAACATTTCTTGGTGTAAAACACACACCCTATTCATAAGTTATTATAACATTTCTTGGTGTAAAACACACACCTATTCATAAGTTAATATAACATTTATTGGTGTTATATTTACTACTAATTTATAACATACCGTAACTATTAATATATCTCCTTTAAGTATCAGTTGTTGTTAACGCGTGTTGGTTAATAAAACATTAATAGAGTGTTAATTCTTAACAACCCAACTAACATCAAACTGGCGTTGCATTTACACCAATCGGACCTAAGCTGGAAAACGACGTGCAAATGTGTATAACATTGGCAACACTTGGTGTTGAACCTACTTCAGATTTCTAAGTGTGTACGATATTGCTTATTTTCTAATTTGTATGGGGGCTTTAACTTCAAATAAATTATCTTCGTTTAGTATTGGAGTGGAAAAAGAAATTTTACGAAAACTAGTATTTTTTAATATATACCTAGTTTTATTTATCTAAATAAAAATAATTTTAGTAATAATATAATGTAATCATTTTAATAATTTTTGTATCAAAACAATATTTATCAATTTTTACAATAAAATATACATTTTTAATATCGTTTTTACGTCATTTTATACAATTTTTTTATATGTATTTGGATCATCAAGTTCCGCGCCCTAATAATAGATAAATTAATTCTAAAACTAAAATTAACATCACTCAATTGGTTCTGTTGAATGTAAATTTGATATTTCGTGTGGGGCAGATAGAAAATTAATGGTGTGTTGACGGCCTGACGTTTGACAATCCCTTAATGTCAAATACACTTGCAATGTTGAAATTACTACAGTAGTATTACTACCAATTATGAAATAAATCATTATAATTGTTAATCAGAGTGGTTTTTTAAAAAATGTTGTATAATAAAAATATCTAATATACCTATGTTGTGATAATAGTTATTTAGGTACCTATTTATTTTATATTTAGACATGGATGATTTTATGAAAAAATGGCTACCTGACATTGGATTCAAACATTTGATTAATACATTTGAAGGTAACTTTTTTTTAAATTTTGAATTTAAAAGACTTACTCAAGTATAAAATAATTGATTTTTAAATAATTTATAAATACAAGATACCTTATAATATAATAATTTAATATACAATCGGTTTCATTAAATGCAATATGGAGTTAGATATTAGGGCTAAGATTAAAACGTTTAACTATTTAACTTTTGAATCTTGTATTTTTAAAGTATTTAAATTTGATGCCATTTTTTTTAACAAAAGAACACTTGAAAAATATTTGCATGGACTAATATTCGATAGTTTTGAAATTGAACATAAATAAACTTGATCAATTAGATTAAAATATTCGAATGATATTTTTTCAACAAATAGTTATTGAATTTGTCATTAAATATGATAATTGGTAATATTTTTTCAGAGCAAGCAATTGATAAAAAAGCATTGTTATTGTTGACTGAATCGATGTTAGTAGAATTAATTCCAATAATGGGACAGAGGGCTAATATTTTAGTTAATTTTTACTTAATAATATTTTTAATTTATGTGTGTATGGTGTATCTAGATAATTTAAATTCAAACAAAAAAATGAAAAATATCTTTGACAATTTATCCGATAATGAAGGTTCCAATAGTAATAACAGTAGTGATCTAACTGCAGATGAAAATTCAAGCAATGTTAAATCCAGTAAAGGTTATAGTGTTTAAATCAATAAAATCATTAATTTTTTTTTAAATACCTAATATATTATAATTTATAAGACAAAAAATTAAAATATTAAATTGTATCTATTTAGATAATTTTATTAAACAAATACTAAAAAAATACCAAGACGGTGTTATAGTACTACAGTATTCTACTGCAAATGAGACATTAAACCAAAAAATGAGAAACAGGCTCTGTGGAGTATTGATAAAGGATGCTCTACACAATTCCGAAGGTGGAAATAAAATGAATAGATCTCAATTTCCCAAAATTGCAAAAGGTACCCATTTTTCTCATAAATGGATTAAAAATCATGTAGAAATAAGGTACTTCAGTACATTATGTATATACTATACTCGTATATATATAATTAATGATAATTGATTACTACCCAAGTTGTTTAACTATTAATATTAAAAGTTTAAAACTATACTATAGTTTATTTAATTATTTTGATGTTTAAATATTAAATGTTTACTTAATAGGTATAGAAGAGTTATTTCATTCGGAATCGGAATACATTTATTTTATTCCATATTTTAGAGAAGGCAATAAAGTTAGCCCAAATCGAGGCAAACTGTATGATAAATATTGCAACATAAAAAAAGAAATTAATAAAATCAATACAACAACTAAACAAAAAAACTCATGTAACAAAGATGATGCAGTTTTTATAAACGAAGAAGGTTATAATTACTTTTTAATAAACAAAATTTAATGGAATTTTTAACAAAAACTTTTTATAAGTTCTCCAAAACTGATAATTTAATATACCTAATTTTTTATAACATTACCTATTTAGTATTTCTAACATAATTCTTAATTAAATAGACATTTTGGATTCAATAAATTGGCTAAAACACAACATTGAACCAGAAGTAACTTTATACAAACTGTGGGCAGAAACTGCAAGTTATCACTTGCAAAAACAAAGTATTGACACAAACACACTTAAATACCCAGCTTTAAAAAGCTCAAAAGGTCATATACTTGTAAGTTTATCTACCTATATAAATTATGGAATCTGTTTTTAATTGATGCATATTGATATGCGTTAACAATATTAATATTACTATTTACTTCTACACTAAATCCTAATTACATTTAATTTTATTATATTTTAAACATTATATTAAAAATAGTTTAGAACTAGACATATTCACTTTTTTTAGATTGATATGGATTTTGATAATTTATATCCGCGAAAAAATCAAAATCTTATACAAAAGATTAATATTTTTAAAGATAAATTAAAAAATTATCTTAAAAACAGAACATTCAACTTCAATTTAACACAACAAAATTTGGTTAAAACAATTTTATCAGCTGATAACTTAGGCAATTTTATTAATTTAACTGTATAATAATAACTGCATAAAAAAAACTAGGTACCTAATGTAATATACACATAAATATTCCACACATGTAATGTTTATACACAAAAATATTAACAAATACCTAACAATATATTATATTATCTAATATACTAATATTTAAAATTACTTTAGGAGATGATGATTTAGCTGCCATTCAATTATTTCTCTACCTATTTAATCCTGTTAACATTAAAGTACCAAAAAAAACCACTGTCAACAATGTTACAAAATATTCAATGCGAAGACCAACGAAATTGGAACAAGCTAGTTCAGTTATAGTTCACATGACTGTAAGTTCCAAACTATAGAAACATAAATAATATATTTAAAAAAAAAAATTAAGCATTTGAATACATTTATACATACCTAAGTAGCTATAATAATTGTGTTTATATTTATTTTATTTTAGAATATCAATGATCTTAAAACAATACATGAAGAAAAAGTGAACAGGGCATTTAATTGTGGGTTTACTGTTCAACCATATGTTGCCATTGTGGGTAATCTTGAAGAAATAAACACTTCACTCAACTACTTTACAGTTATTAATGACATATATTATAAATAGGGAACGGATTTTATTGTAATAAAAAAATTAAAATATGTACTTAATTTTATTGAAATATGTAAAAAAAAAATCAAAATATATAATAACCGCTTAACAGAAAAAATAAGTACCAAAAGTAAGTATAAAAATTTTATCTCTTATCTAATTAATAATTATTAAAACAATGCGAAACTACATATTCTCTAAGATTTAAAAATGTAAAATGGCGGCGATTTGATCGTAAAATGTTTTTGCATTGACTGAATGAACGTTACACATCAACTGACGTAATGATAGTTAATAACCCCGATTTTTCACAACATTTACAGTATAAAACTTTCCCATCACTTTGAAATGTTTCATTCGGAAATTCTTTTAAATATGTGGCTACCTTATTATTGATTGAACTTACAACTTTAGGTATTTTAAACAATTTTATAAAAAAAACCAAAATTTCGATGTAGATATGAAGAAAAAAACGATGCAAATGATTACTCCCGCCAGAACAGTAACTAGAACTACTGAATTGTATAATAGATATTCAGGTTATTGTGATTTAAATAATGTATCATTTGTTACCTGGATAAAAATTAAGGGAATTTTGTACAATACCAAAAATATGTCAGTTATTATTAATATATGTGATGAAAATAACATGTTACCTTTATTTGGATTAATTAAATGTATTTTTATCATAGATAGTGAACCATTTATTATTTATAATGTGTTTAAAACAATTCATTATGATGAACATTTTGGAGCATTTAATGTTATGTTAACTTCTGAATTACAATGTATAAAATTAAATGAATTAGATAATAGTTTTCTTGTTCACCACATAAGTATATCAAATGGAACTATTTTTATAAAAATGTATATCTAAATTAAAAAAAAAATATTTAATATGATGTATAAATTGTTTTTTTTTTTTTATTATTTGTATAGTTTCAGAAATTTACTGTAGCAGGTGTATTACATTGAATACTATAATTTATTATAACTTATCTCTAATGTTCATATTATATTAAAATTACTTTATTATTATAACTTTATATTTTGTATATGTAATTAATTACATTGTTTATTGTTTAATAAGATATATTTTGTGCTTAATATTCAATCAATTGAAAACTGTCATACTTTCATATAAAAATAATGTTCATAACTACCATTATAAATATCCAATTTTAAATGCATCAATACTTCAGTTTATAGCTATGATGCTTATTACTAGTCAGACAAAAAATTGTTATAGTAAACAAGTTTTACTGTAGTAAATTTGACTTGGGTTTAAGTGGTCACCACTATAAGTTTTATTTGTACATTACCATAAAATTATGTTCTGATTACTATACAAATTTTAAAATAACTAAATTTAAAAGTAAACATTACTATATGACTATGTTACAAACACTATAAGCATTGTTCAAATTACTAAATTAAAAAGTGTACACTACCATTAAATTATGTTAAAATTACTATAAAAATTTTAAAATAACTAAATTTAAACGTAAACATTACTATATAACTATGTTAAAAATACTATAAGCATTGTTCAAATGACTAAATTAGAAAGTACAAATTACCATAAAATTATATTAAAATTACTATAAACATTGTACAAATAACTGAATTATAAAGCAATGAGTACTAAAAATGTATAGTTCATAATACTATATTTTTGGTCTAGATAACTATACAATCATAACTACATATTTTTAGTTAATCTGACTAACTTTATAGCTATCCCTAAAGCAATTGTATAATATAGTTAAGCCTACTATTTTTATAGTGAAAATAACTGTTTTGTTTTTTCTGTGTAAAATACTTGGGTGATACTATTACTTTTCATACTTTTCATGCATTAAAATAATGTACCTATATAATGGGACTAAATGTAAATACAGACCTAGTATAAATTATTGATGAATAATATTTAATTAACATTTGGTTTATAATTTGCCTAATACAATTTCAGTATACAATCAATCTTTTTTTCTAAATCGAGGGAAGAAATTATTGATTTTATAGTTTTGTAAATACAAGTTAGTTTAACCATTTATTTATTTTTTGTTTGTAAGATTTTGAATGAATTATTTTTTGAATATTGCATATTTTATCTTGAGTATAGAGCATTATTGGAGCTATAAAACTAAAATTATCAATAATTAGGTACTAAAGTCATCATAGAATTAAAATAATCACTAATTAATAAGTAATGCAATAATCCTATAAATTATATGATGAATAAATAATGATTTGATAAAATACATATCCAAGAGAAAGCAGCAAATAATCAATTATCATTATAATTAAAATATAATGCCTAGGGAACAGATTTATATGCAAATACATATATATTGGAATAAGATTTTTGAAATCTGATGAGCATTGTCCCCGATTTAGATCTTTCTTATGAAAATAATACTAATTTTATATTGCATATTATTATGCATATTTCAACGTTTCAACGTTTGTACCTATTAAATACATATTCAAATTCAATGTATATTTGTAGTTTTGTAGAGCATATTTTTATTTATAGCACATATATTCGTTTTCGCCGTATTTTCAAGTTCACAGCCACATAATATCGATAAATTTTTATCAAAGTAACAAAGTTAAGATAATAGAATTCAAGTGTTCGACAGTCAGTATTTGGTATCAGTCCATGTTGTGCTTTTTATATTTAAAATTGTGTACGAGAGTGCGTCTAGTGATTTTTGATATAATTCTAATTCGGAACTTTAAAATGTCTTAAGAACACCAATTAAGAGTTGTTTACAGACCTATGTAAACGATCATAAAGATATTTTTAAAACCGAAGGTTCAATTTTGTACTGCAATATTTATGAAATTCCAGTTAACGCGGCTACAAAGTTTTTGGTAGACCAACATTTATGGCATGATAAACTTAAGAACAATCTAAAACTCAAAGAATCAAATTCAAGAAATATAAAACAAATGAAGATATTTGCCAAGCTTTTATTTTTGTAAGTATTCCTATATTAAATTACAAAATCTATCTCTTCGCGCTTTCTTAGAAAAATATATTAAACGACACATACCAGATGAGTCCACCTTACGAAAAAATTATG